GATCTCAACTAAGTTTCTCTTGAACCTGAATGATGTTTACTATGTCTTGATAATCATCCAAGCTTCGATTTGCTTGTTGTATGTTGTTTTCAACCCAGATCTGCTCAATAAGGCCATTTAAAGTGTCATGCATCTTTTTAGCTCTAACTCGCGTGACTGGACCTCTTTGTGTGTGTAATGGATCACATGATGTAGTATATATGCTGTCGTCTTGATTCCCATCATCTCTGGTAACGATATTATGAATTACCCAATGGTTTTAGTAAAGCCTTGTTGGTTCTAGCAAAGGACTAGAAACTGCCTTTTTCTAGCCTTCAGCCATACGAAATTCCATTTCTGGGAAGATACTTGAGTGCAGTTGGCAAACATAAAATCTGCCCAAGATTTTGGAAAATTCCCAAGCAAAATGCAATCTTTTTCAACAGTTCCCAACACAGTGTAACTTGTGCAACCACCTTTGCATTAAATGCAGCTGTAACTTGTTGATGGGGACTAAAATAACATCTCTGGTTAGTTTTTAACAGGATTTTGAGCTTCCATGTTGGAGACTTAGAAAGTGTGAAGCTACAAAATGATTCTGAAGCTGTTGGGTTGAAGGAGCTGCTATGTGGAAGACCAAGGTCTAGACGTCTAGAGGGGGAAGACAGAATTATGTCTCGCCAAACACCTCCAGATTCACAGAATATCATGGTTGGAAAGTGGCACAACGTAGGTTTTGTTCCTAAGCTACTTTCTTAAGCATCAGACGGTCAAGTTAAGAAGTCAGCATTAGAATGGAATCAAGTCACCCTCTTGCAAGCCCCCAAATGGTCACCTTCCTTCTCCCATCACTACTCTCAAGTCTAGCCCTTGAGAAAAGTTTCAAAAGGAGAAATTGTTGTGTTTTGTAATCATGAGGATCATCCAATATGAAGTAAGGGTATTTACTAAGGATCATAGAGGGCGTATTCGTTGTCATTATTTTGATGTCATGATTGTATATGTGTAAATGCACCCCTTAAGTTATGATGTTCAAACTTCAAAAGATGTTTTATTTCTAGTGCTCCTACCATAATGCACTTTTCCATTGTCTACTTCTGATAGTTGTATAATCACTCTTGACTACAAGTATCCTACTGTCCTCGTCTAGCCCTCTTCCTTCTTCTCACAACTTGGCTGGAGAAATTGAATCATCAGACTTGGCTGGGGAATTCACCACCAACCGCATCGCTGGGTAGATTGAAATGGCCCATGGCACATAGCATTCTGCACATGAAACCGGTGCTGCCAAGAGAACCTTCCTCACCTTTCTCGAGTGTCATCTTAGTTAGCTTCCACATTATTACCATCGTCGACTCATCAACCCACATCATCAGCGCACACCAACACTCATTAGTATTATTCTTTAAATAAAAGTGAAAAATCTTGAATTCAAATTTAAATTTTATGATATACGAGTGAGTTAGGTTAAAAAAAAAAACTTTTACCTATTAGACAATTCAAAAAAAAAAAAAAACCTACATATTATAGTTAAATAAATAGGGAAATGATTTTGGGATAACCTTCTTGTACCACTTTTTTGTACAACCTGACATGTTATTTAAATGATTGGTTCTTTTAATTCATGTGAGACCCATTATATTAAATGCATCCACTTATTTAATACCATGTGGAAGTTGTATCAAAAGGTGGTATAAAAAGGTTGCTCCTATAGCATTGGCCAAATAAATATCATAATCGAGATCAAAAGAGAATCATAGATCCAAGCTACTCCCCCTCAAAGGAAAAAAAGGGAAAATCACCCTAAGGCTAGTGTGAGAAAGCTAGGGGGACAGTGCCTTTTGTTGCCATTCTTGCCCCCAAACCCTCATTGTACTCCTCCTCCTTTTACTCTCTTGTATGTAATAAAAAAAAACAACCTAACTGTGTGACAAGCCTCTCTCTTTAGGCCTTCTTTTCCCTTGTGAAGCCATTCTCCTTTTCTTTTTCTATTGCTTCTCTTGTGATTGGATCCTAAAGTGTATGGTAATTGCAACTTGATATGGTAGAACTATAAGTGAAGAGTCTAAATACTTACTTCACCTAAGAAACTAGCATGGCAATAAAGAATGTAAGACCCCTCAAGATGTTCTTAGAGACTTTTTTTCTACATTAATAGCTTTGTTTATGCCATTATAATGATTGTCAATTTAATCTCTAGATGTATATATGACTCCCATACTTAATTATTTATATATGCCATAAGTATAATTAAATCATCTAGTACTATAAGATATGCTTCTACATTAGCAATATCTAATCATATATAAATTCATATGTAATCTTAATTTTATTTATTTAATATAATTTGTACTCCCATTTAAAAAAATAGCATAATCAAGATTGTAATTGACCATCAAAATTCATACAGAAATTAAACACAAATAATGTCTTGGCAAGCTAGCTTGTAGACATAAAACTAAAGCACTTGATGGATTGTTGATCATGATGAGATGTATTTTTGGTGCATGCTAATATCATGTTTTTGGCTTATTAGTTGACTTGGATCCCCAGGTGGCAGCAACGGTGGCTACTTCTTCGCTGATTTTCCCTTTTTCCTTGCTTTTCTTCCACCACCTAGAGTCTAGGAAGAATAGCATGGACGCTACGGCGAATGATAGGGATAAATACCCTTTTCTAACCCACTCCTCATGCAGATCCCTAGCTTGTGGGTCTCATTCCTCCCACCAATACTTAACAACATCTCTGATCTTACCAAACCACTCCATGTATGTATAGCTAGATTCATAATTAATTGATAATTTTGATTAAATCCAATGGTGTAAAATAGCAACAAAGATATAAATTAAAAGAACTATGTATGTAGCAGCCAGATGATATACAAACTTAGGTTTTAGGTTTGAGGGCAAAAGCAGAATTTAATAATGTTTTTTCTTTTTATATTTTAAGGGGAAAAGGTTATCATTCATTCTAAAACTCAAAATAATATATATATATATATAGAAAATTACTACATATCAATCATGATTCTTAAAAAATTAGAATCTAAATCTACGTTTGAAAGCGAAAATTCTAATTCAAAATCCAAAAATCCACCCATTAAATATTGATACTTAAATTTAAAAGCTAATTATATATTCTATTATAATTAGCTTGCAAATCTAAATATCAATATCTAATATAATTTTTAAATTTTGAGTTTAGTTTTAATTAAATAAAATAAAATTAAGATTTCAATTTATTTTAGAAATCAAAACTAATATGTAGATTTTATGTATTTATTGTTTACAATTTCTACAAAAATGAATTTATTCAATTTACAGTTTTCCAGTGCACCCAATAAAAAACATAATAAGCTAGTCCAATATGAAAAAAGATTCAGGAATGCATTCATTGATGAGATAATATAGGATGGTATATGTTGTTGCAGAAAACCTTCAGGATCTTCCTTTTGTGTATCTTTTAACAAACTTACAAAGCCCCGAGGTTGGTCCTCGGGAAGACACTCTGATGCTTAAGTTAGTATTGTTCTAGAGTGTGTTCTCTATTTTTGATGAATATCCAAATGTATCTAAGGTACCTTTCCTCATGGGTTTTGTACATCTTGGCAAGGTAGTCACGTGGCTCACTTGTACCCACGTGGCTTACTTAACATGATAATCATAATATGATGCGTCTGATGGAGTAGACGTCTTAGGTGAGTGTAACGTGCCTTAACGGAGCAACCACATTAAATACGTGTGGTGTGTTCTAACGGAGTAGGTCCCTTGGGGAGGGAGGATTAGGTAAGGACAAATAATTGGGTAGGGTGTTCTCATTGCAACTGCCATGCACTTGTGGCAGGGAACCGAGATGCAACAGAGCACTAAGCTCTACCTTGTTCTTATATGCCTTGTCCTTATATACCCTTACACCATTCCCCCCCCCCCCAAAGTCATTCACTTATGAATGATGAAGGGAGAATGGGCGGTGAGGTCGTGTTCTGGCCGAAGCTGAGATGAAGGGCGTTACACAGAGTTATGTCTTATGGCCGTAGCCGAGGTAAGGGTCGTGACACGAAGTCACGTGTTATGGCCATAGCCAAAGTGAAGGGCGTGACACGGAGTCACATGCTGTGGTCATGGTTGAAGTGAAGGTCATGACATGGAGTCATGTGTTGTGGCCGTAGCCGAAGTAAAAGTCATGACATGGAGTCACATGTTGTGGCCGTAACCAAAGTGAAGGGCGTGACACGGAGTCACGTGTTATGGCCATAGCCGAAGTGGATGTCGTGACACGGAGTCGCGTGTTATGGCCGTAGTCGAGGTGAAGGTCGTGACGTCGAGTCATGTGTTATGGCCATAGTCGAGGTGAAAGTCGTGACACGAAGTCATGTGTTATGGCCATGGCCGAGGTGAAGGTCGTGGCACAAAGTTGTGTTATGGTCGTAGCCGGAGTGAACGGTGTGACACAGAGTCATAGTCACGTGTTATAGCCATAGCCGAGGTGAAGGTCGTAACACGAAGTCACATGTTATGACCGTAGCCAAGGTGAAGGTCGTGACAGTGAGTCACGTGTTATGGTCGTAGCTGAAGTGAAGGTCATGACACGTAGTCATGTGTTATAATCGTAGCCAAGGTGAAAAGGCATGACACAGGATCATGCATTGTGGTCGTAACCAAGATGAAAAGCTGAGGTGGGACACTTGGTAATGTTATTATGTAAAATGTATAAGGAGAGGCTCAAAGTGGGCTTAAATGGGCCCATTTATGAAGCCTTGAAGCTGGTTAATGTATCGAATGACAACTGTCATTGAAGGATGTGTAGTTATAAATATGGTCTGCAAAAAGTAATCGTCACATTCGAAAGAACGCGATGGTAAATTAAACAACAAATTTGAAAGGGCAAGGTCACAATTGTTTGATGAAATTCATCATGACTGTTGAAGCCTATATTTGCCGTGATATATATAGCCACACTTAAACGAAAATCTAATTACTTTGCTGTTAACATTATAAAAACGTTTACAGAACTTTCTGCACTCTGCTTTGGTTCAGCGCTATTCATTCGAAATTAGGTAATTTGTGAACATCTTTCTTCTACTTTTCATTAGAGTAGTGAGAATGTCTTCTGAAGAGACGGTTAGTGATGAAAGGATCAGGGGAAGGGTTAAGGAGGGAGAGGTGGAAGATTTAGGGGTGCCCCAAAATATTTTGGAGAAAGAAAATGAAAGGGATGAGTGTTTCAACCCTGAGGAGGAGATTGTTTCCGAGATTATTAGGTATGAGACATCTCTCGAAAATAAGAGTAGTTTGGCCCATGTGGTTGAAAACTACGCGATGCCTGGGCATGTGTTAGTAAGGCCGGTAAAGAGGAGAAAGAGGGCTTGTTCGGCCCGGGGGGACCACTGGATGCCCATGTATTCCCATTACATGACGGTTGGATTGCGGTTCCCCATTCCAAAGTTGCTGGTGTGAGTGTTGATGAAGTATGGTTTGGGGTTGACTCAACTCACCCCAAACGTTGTACGACTGGTGATAGCCTTTGCGGTGTGTAGTTGAGTTCGAGGGGTGCCATTCCTAACCGTAAACATGTTCAAGTATTTTTATGTGCTGAACTCCGGGAGTGGTAGAGAGAAGGGGTGGTACTATTTACAGGCCAGGTAGTTAATAGGAAAAAGAGGGGTTTGTTCAGTGTCAGGCCGTGTTCCATCAAAGGATGGACAGATAAGTTCTTTTTTGTGGATGATAGTGAGTGGGACAAGACAGATGCTGAAGTGGAGGACCTGAATTGGTGAAAGGCGAAAGGGTTGAACCTTAACGAGTATAGCTTGGCCCCGGGGGAGTTAAAGGATGTGAGGATGTTAGAAAGGGGGGATGAAGGCATACTGGATATTATGGAGTTCACAAGTCAAAGGATGTTAGATGCAGCTAAGATCTATGGGCCAAATTCGCGGAGCGGAGGTGTGTAATTTAACTATTTGTCCCATTTGAGGGTTCTAATAAGTGTTTTAACCCTGTTTTGTTTTGCAGAAGAGATGAACAAGTTCTTGGAGGCAGCCGACGGTGTTGGCATCCCTAAGAAGGGGAGGAGGAAGAGGGCTGAGGTTGGGAGGCAAGGTGAAGTGAGCTCGGCAACTCAGTTCGAGGCTCAAGCCTTAGCCGTTTCTCAACCCAGCAATGTGGGGGCTGAGGTGACAGTGGCTAAGAGGGAGGGGCTTGTTGCTGTGAAGAAAAGAAGGGTGGAGGAGTAGCAACAGAGAGCTAAGGAGGAGGTGATGGAACCTATCAACTCGTCTCTTCGTATTGAGGCTCGACCCTCAGCTATGGCTACTGATATCGCAACTAGACTCCGAGAGCAAGGGTATATCCGCTTGCAGACGACAAGCTTCTATGAATCTGGGATGAAAAGCACAGCGAAAAGGTTTATCAACGCCTACTTCTCGGAGGTGGATCGCCAACGTGCAAGAGATGTGGTGGCTACTAGAGGGTTAGTGAGGTGGTGTGTCAAGCCCTTGAGGTATGAGATTCCTACTTCGCTTGAAGTTTTGGGATAGAGATCTTGTTAATTGTTCGTTGATTTGAGTTTAACTTTTTGTGTAGGCTGTGAATCTTATGAATGTGTTGGCGAATGAGCATCACAAGAGCCTGAGGGATAAGACTCAGTTAAGGAAGGAGAATGCCAAGCTCGTTAAGAAAAATGAAGACGCCGAGCTTGAGGTGGCCAAATTGAGGTCCAAGATAGAGAAGCTTAAAAAGGAGAATGCCACCTTGAAGAGAGACTCAGAGCTCTCGTATGAAAAATGGAAAATTTGTGAAGACGAGCTCAAGAAGGAAAAAGAGTTGGACAAGGTAAGGAAGGCAACAGCTGAGCTGAAGCTCAAAGTCCACAACTCCATTGAAGAGCACGTGGCAAAGTTCTTGAGGTCTAGTACTTTTGACAACATTGTTAATCTCTACCAGCTCCCAACTGCAATTGTAGCCTTTTCCGACTATCGGTAAAAGGTGAAGTTGCAGTATCCTGAGGTGGATGTGACGAAAATCACATGCGGAGATCAAGAGGGAGAAGTGGAGGAAAATGGGGAGAGCAATAATGTTGACTTTCGTCCTAAGATTACGCTGAAATAGGACCAAGACAGCAGGGGTCGAACCATTTTCCCTCCGAACTTCAGTTTTGAGTTCATGCCGGTGGCTGACGAAAGGAGCGGAGGTGCTGACAAGCTAGATCAGCTTGCTGAATGGCTCCTTACTTCGTCCATCTTTGTAAAAATGATTTACTTGTAAACAATTCAATTTTTAGTTAATAAATTCAATTTTTGGTACCTTAATGTGTTGATTATGTTTTTGAAGTGGTTTGAATTGGAAAGGGCTAAATGAGCAAAATGAAACTTGCTAATTATACTCAGGTGGGAGTATTGGAATTGATTTCACCTTTAACTTTATTAGAATATCAAATGATACAAAAGAAGGATGTCTAATACAAATAGTGAAGTGGAAAACTTTCAAGGGTAGACTTTCTTGAGGTTATTAACATTCTAGACCTTGGGTACTCTCTTGCCTTCAGAATCTTAGAGAATGCAAGCACCAGGGTGTGGGATTTCGGTCACGGTATATGGGCCTTCCCAGTTTGGTGCTAGCTTGCCAAAGTGGGTTTCAAACCCTGTGAGCCCGGCCCTTCGGAGAACTAGGCCATTGATTCTGAAGCTTATAGGTCGAACCCGCTTATTGTAAAAACTAGCTACCTTTTTCTTGTATGTAAGCGTTCGAAGTCGGGATTGCTCTCGGACTTTGTCTAGGAAATCAAGGTTTTCTTTAAGTAGTTGTTCATTTCGAGCTGGGTCGAAATGGCTAACTTTTAAGCTCGAAATACCAATTTCGACAGGGATAACTGCCTCGATGTCGAAGGCCAAATGATAGGGCGTTTCACCTATTTAAAGGAGATTATGATTTTAGGATTTGCTTTATGGAGTTATTTATGATTTTGAGTAAAACAGTAAAAAAGGAGACTAAAATCAGGGGTGTACTTGTAGCAATTCCGCTCGTAGTTCGGTAGGCCTATAGGACGTTGTCGAGCTCGTCTACCCATTTTGCTTTCAACTTATCCAGCCTCGGCTTGATTCCTTTCAAGATGGCTTTGTTAATTGATTCAACCACACCATTGGCCTCGAGATGGTGAATTGAAGTGAACACTAGCTTAATCCCGTAACTGGAGTAGAAGTCCTTAAAGGAGTTGCAATTGAATTGAGGACCATTATTAGCAATGATTTGGTTTGGTATCCCGTATCTGCAAATGACTGAGCTGAATAAAAAATCCTTAATCCTTTTCAAAGTCAAACAAGAGAGAGGCCGGATTTCTACCCACTTAGTAAAGTAATCAACGGCAACAACTAAATGTGTTACTCCCTCCATTTCTTTAACAAAAGAGCCCAGAAGATCTATCCCCCATTGGGCAAAAGGCCAAGGTGCGACTATGTTAATGAGCTCTTTAGCTGGCTGCTGGGTGAGATGAGTGAAGAACTAACACTTCTAGCACTTATGCACGAACTGCTTTGCATCATGCTGCATGTTAGGCCAATAGTACCCTTGCGAAGTACCTTACGGGCCAAAGTCCAAGCTCCCACATGGTTCTCGCATACCCCTTCGTGCATTTCTCTCAGTGCATACTGAGCTTCATATGGCGTCAAGCACCGAAGGAGAGGTAGTGAGTAAGATCTTTTATAAAAGACATCATCAACTAGGGTGTACCAGGACGCCTTCCTCCACAGCTTCATCTCCTCTTATTTGTCTGTTAGGACAGTTCCATCTTGAAGGTAAGCTCTAATGGGGTCCGTCCAATTGGGAGTTTTTGGATCGATATTGATTTCCATTACCTTCGATGTCTGGAAGCTTGGTTCATTTAGGATCTCGACATAGACAAATCTCACCCCCTTAGAGCTATCGGAGGCTAACTTTGACAAAGAATATGCATGCTCATTCTCTGCTCCTAGGACCTTCATAAGCTGGAATTTCTCAAAGTGACACCTTAGCTCAGAGACTACAGCTACATACTTTGCAAGAGTGGGATCTGTCCCCTCACACATGGAATTCACTTGGTTGACCACTAACTGTGAGTCACTATAGATTTGCAGGTGCTTGACCTTGACCTCAGCTACCAAACATAGTCCAAGGAGGAGCGCCTCATACTCAGCCATGTTGTTCGTGGCTTCGAAGTTGAACTTCAATGCATGCTCATTTCGGAAATTGCCAAGCCCAGTCAGTACTACTCCAGCACCCAGCCCTTTGTTGTTAGATGACCCATCCACGTAGAGGAACCATGCTTTGGTCTCAGAACTCGGTCTCTCCTGGTCAGAAGTGCACTCTGCCACGAAGTCTGCCAAAACCTAAGCTTGGATTGCTAACCTCTGTTGGAATATTATCTGGAACTCCCCTAGCTCTACTGCCTATTTGATGAGTTTTCCCAAGCATTCTAGCTTTTGCAAAATCTACCTTAAAGTTTGGTCAGTCATCACAATAATAGGATGGGATTGGAAATATGGTTTCAACTTCCTGGCAGTGGTAACAACTACTAGAGCTACCTTTTTTGCAATGGAATACCTCTGTTCAACTCCTTGTAGTATGTTGTCGGCGTAATACACTGGTCTTTGCCACTTTCCCAGTTGTTTGACCAAAACAGAACTGACAATTGTATTAGATATTCCAAGGTAAAGATAAAGGATTTCACCTTCTTCAACCTTAGTCAATAGAGGTGGCGAGCTAAGGTAGGTTTTCAGCTCGTCAAAGGCTGTTTGACATTCTGCAGTCTAGTCAAACTTTTAGGGTTTTCCCATTTCATCTCTCTAAGCTGTAGTCCTCAAGACCTCAAAGAAAGTTAAGCATTTATCTACTAATTTAGAGATGAATCTATGCAGGGCTGCCACCCGTCCAATTAGACACTGCACATATTTGGTTGACTTCGGTGGCTTCATCTCCTCTATTGCTTTTATCTTTTCGGAATTGACCTCTATCCCCCTTCTGGAACCATGAAACCCATAAACTTACTTGATTCAACATCGAAAGTGCATTTTTCTGAATTCAACCTCATGTTGTGTTTCTCAGGTTGTCAAATGTTTCGGTCAAGTCAGTCAAGCGGTCTTTTGCTCGAAAACTCTTAACTACAATGTCGTCTACATAGACCTCTAGATTCTGGCTTATCTGAGCTCATAACACAATTGTTACCATCTTCTAATATGTTGCTCCTGCATTCTTGAGCCCAAATAGCATCATCACGTAATAGTAGATTTCATCCCCAGCATAAAATGAGGTCTTCACTTCGCCTTCGGGTGCATGTGAACTTGATGATATCCCAAGTAGGCATCTAGGAGGCTTAACCTTTCATTTCTTGAGGCAGCTTCCACCAGCTTGTCTATGTTGGGCATGGGGTGACAGTATTTAGGACAAGCATCATTGAGATTGGTGTAGTCAATACACATCCGCCATTTACCGTTTGACTTTTTTTACCAAAACAGGGTTAGCAACCCATTCACAATAGTCTACCTTCTCATGAATCCAACCTGTAAAAGCTTATGCACCTTCTCTTTGATAGTTTGTAGCCTCTCTCCTCTAAACAAACATCTCTTCTGAACTAGGGTTTCTTTAGAGGGTTGGTGCTTAACTTCTGCACCACAACCGAGGTCAAAATTCCAGGCATATCGGCTAAGGTCCATGCAAACACATCCTTGTTTGCTTTCAAGAAGCTTATGAGCTCCTTTCTTTCCCTCAGGTTCAACTTTGTCCTAATCTACGTTTTTCTGATAGGGTCATTGTCATTGATCTGCACCTTTCTGTTTCCTCTACTAGGGTGGCTCTAGCTTCATCATTCAATCGATTGTGGTAACTCTACACCCATCACTTGTTAAGTACTAGGTGCCTTTAATTGCGTTGGTTCTAGTAGCTAAACTGCTTTCTTATCCCTCTAAGGTTGGTTGACCGAGGTTATATAGCAGTGCTTGGCTCTCTCTTGATTGCCCCTTAGAGTCGCAACTCCCATGGGTGTGGGAAATTTCATGAACAAGTGGGACTGTGAGACAACAGCTCAGATTTCTATTAGGGTGGGCTTCACAACCACTATATTGAAAGACGAGGCCATCTTCACAACCAGGAACCGTACTAAGGGCGTGACATATGTTCGACTTGAACCAAATGCCACATGGAGCCTTAGTACCCCTTCAATAGGAACCGACTGGTTGTTAAAGCCGTAGATGGGTCTGTCGTATTTCTGTAAGAGAGTTAGGTCAAGACCAAGGCCTTCGAAATAATGGTAGTACATTATATCTGGAGCACTTCTGGTGTCAACAAAAACACGCTAGATTTCACAATTGTTGATGATGACCGATGTGACCAGCCAGTCATTATGGGGTGTAACGACACTACCGAGGTTAGCCGATATAAATGTTATGGGTTGGTTCTTCCACCCTTCATCATCGAACTTCCTTTTCCGAGCTTGGTTCTGATGTTTGACCTCCCTCACATACAATTTTTGCTGCTTTGAGCTCATCCCTTCGGCCTCTAGCCCCCTATTTATCATGTGAATGATTTGGGCTAGTGTGGGGAGCGGAGGTGGAGCTTGTTGATATCCAACCCCAGTCTTGTTGCTAGCACCTCGAGGTCCTTGGGACTCTTGTCCTTGCTCCTTTACAAACTTGAGGTGGTCCTTGTTAAGGATGAAGTCATTCAACATCCCCTTTCGTGCCAAGCCTTCGAGCTTGAATTTCAAGCTATTGCATTCTTCTATTACGTGGCCATGGTCTTGGTGGAAATCACAATACTTGGTGTGATATCTGGAGGTGGGTAAGCTCTACATGGCTGGTGGCCTTTTGAGATCCATTTTATTTTTGATTTGCATTAAGATCTATGACCTCGGTAGTGTAAATGGAGTCCAAGTGCGATGCCTCCCTGTGGCCTACAAAGCACTCACACTAGGCTTGTCAACCTTGGCAGTTGAAAACGGACCTCGATTTTGAATGACTTTGAATTTATTCTTGCTCGACCTATCCTCCCTCTAAGCATGGCTTCTGATTTCCTTGGTAGTTAAGGGCTTATGCAGTAGCATGTACTTTTCTGTAGTGATGAAATTGTGAGATCTTTTATTGACCTCTTCAAATGAGGCAAGGGGGTGCTTGATCAAGCTGTCTCAAAACCGCTCATGGCTAAGCCCTTGGATGATGGCAGTGATTCCTATAGCTTGGTCAAACGAATCGATCTCCAACATAGCGTCATTGAATCTATTTATATAATTTTTTAGGGATTCGCCTTCCCTTGGAATCACTTGCATGAGCTTGGCTATTGTTTTCTTGATCAGCCTCCGACTAGAAAATTTGGTGGCAATGGCTGTTGCCATCTCAACATACAAACTGATTGAGTTCAACTTCAGACTGTAATACCAAGTTCAAGCATTACCAAGTTCGAGCATTACCATGTAATGTGGACGGGAATATTTTGCACATGAGGGCATCAGAGACATTCTAAGCCTACATGACAAAACAAAAGGTGATAAAGTGGTCGTCGGGGTCTTTAGTTATGTCATATGTCTTGAACTGAGGCATCTTAAAGCCTGATGGGTATGGTTCCTGAACAATGTTGGTATTGAGGGAAGCAGATACAAGAGTTGAGCTGGCTTGGCCTGGGGGTACAACTCTGTTTTCGGCTATCTTTCTTTCAAGGTTATCTAGCCTTTTGGAGATGTCTAAGGCTACTAGTTGAGATGGATTAGGAGGTGGGGGTGGAATGTGAGATTGTGATTGGAAGCCACTCCTAAATGGGGCAACACTCTGGATAAGGGAGTTAACAAGCTGTTGTTGTTGGTGAGGAATTGTGGGGTGAGCTGGATTCAATAAGTTGATGAGAGGGTCACCAAGATTGTTTCTAGCTAGGAGTCGTGCAAGTACCAGCTGGAACACTCCAAATTGTTGCTACATGGTATTGAGTTGAGTAGTTATGAGGTCATTCGAGGCGATGGCTGGATGTTGTGGATTGTGTTCTCCTTTTTCTTCCACATGCTGGTGTTGGACAATAGCAAGCAGTACATTCTGAGGCATGGGGTTAGGGCTTGGAGGTTGGCCTCTTCTACCATCTTGACATTGACTTTCATGCTAGGTTGAGCGTGTGCGAACCATCTTAGTCTTTTTTCAAGGCTTCTTGTTCGAATCTCACAGACGGCACCAAATGTTGTTGCCAAAAACCTTCAAGATCTTCCTTCTGTGTATTTTCTCTCCAGACAAACCTGTAAAGCCTCAAGGTTGGTCCTCGGGAAGACACTCTGATGCTTAAGTTAGTATTGGTCTAGAGTGTGTTCTTTGTTTTTGATGAATATCCAAATGTATCTAAGGTACCTTTCCTCATGGGTTTTGTACATCTTAGCAAGGTAGCCACGTGGCTTACCCATACCTTACCCGTACCCACATGGCTTACTTAACGTGATAATCATGATATGATGCACCTGACGAAGCAGACGTCTTAGGTGAGTGTAACGTGCCTTAACAAAGCAACTGCATTAAATGTGCGTGGTGTGTTTTGACAGAGCAAGTCTCTTGGGGAGGGAAGATTAGGTAAGGACAAATAATTGGGTAAGGGTGTTCTCATTGTAACTACCATGCACTTGTGGCAAAGAATCGAGATGCGACAAAACACTGAGCTCTACCTTGTTCTTATATGCCTTGTCCTTATATATCCTTACAGTAGATTTTGCCACTGAAGTGGAGGCCATTATATGCTTAGCCTCGACAAACAGACTATCCTATATCCAATACAAATTTTGTATCAAATTTGCAAAGCAACATGAAGTGTTAAAGAGGGAAATTGGTCTCTTTTTTTTTTTTTCAAAACAACACGCAAGAAAACCAGAGAGAAGTTTGAAATTGTACCAATTTCATTAAGCAGTGTTAGTCCCGAAAAAACACATAGCATAAATTAGTAGCTAGAAGCATCAAAATCATACCATAATTAGCCACCAAAAATACTTAAAAAGTGGCACCTGGCCCGTTGAGCCGAGTGGCTCTTAGCACCTTATTAAGGTGCAGTTTCCCCTTCTCCCCTTGGAGCTGGGTTTAAGCCCCCATAATACTTTGTTAAAAAAAAAAAAAAAACTTAAAAAGTGGCTAGGCTGAGATTCAAATACCTGGACTTGTCCCCTTCTCAGCACCCACCGGAGCTCTTGAGCCAATTCACTTTCCTCTTTATAGACCCGCAACCTTGTTTCTCTGCCGTTGAGCCACAAAGAAGCTCCCTTAATTGGTGGCTAGGCTATATCTAAACCCTATTTATTTACACTTTCCTATTAGATTATTGATCGAATTAAAATTCAAATATACCTGGAATTCCTAATATGAAGAAACGTACTTGTTTGGACTGTAGTTAGATAATTCAGATATGGGTACAATTCTACTCTCATAATTATACTATAAAAAAATTATATGTACCAATAAAAAATAAATTTTTTATTTTAAATATTTAATTTACAACCCATAGAGTAAATAAAATAATATCTTTCCTATTAAATTATTTGTCGAACTAGTAGAATTTTAAGACTTAGTATGGGAGTGCTTTACACAGCACTAGACAATACTTGTGCCTTGTATGGGTATCTTACAATAAAATAAAATATTTATATTTTTAATTTTTAATTTTTTATATCAATAAAAAATATTATTTACTCTAAAAGACAAACTATAATCACACAGGACTGTCCAGTGGCCACTTGCTGCCCCAAAGGACAGCCTGTGGTTTGCACTCTCATGTCCCGAGTTTAATACACTCCACTAATACTTCTAACATACTAACCTCTAATCATTGTCATCATAAAAAAAAAAAAAAATCACACGAGACTGACAAAAGGTGAAAAGTGCTAACGTCCTGCAAATTGTAATAAATGAAAAAAAAAATTAAAAATTTGTTTTGCCATTGAATTGAAAAAGCACATTCTCCTTAAAAAAACATAGGAAAAAGAATATATTTTAAACAAATTATATCCAACGACACTCACAAATGAAATTAAAAATTCGGAATTTCTCATTCTTTAGTTCTTATTAAGGATGCAACCTAAAAAGTTGCTCTAAATTTTCAAATTTACGCACTTTGAGTCTTCTAGGAAAGAGCATTCTTTTTGGTAAAATACCAGGAGTTGGTCGAGAGGTGTAATGGTATTGTACATACTTCATTTTGTATGACAATAAATATAGAGATGATAGGATTACTCTCAAAACTAACACCCTTATTTACAAAAAAATTCAATCTATTGAACAAAATAAAATTTAATAGGATTTGTCAGATATTAAAGACTTATCCTCACTTATCTAGACTATCATTTGACATCCATTTAGTCCTTCAAAATTCTTGGTAGCTGATTATCATTTGGAACTCAAGATCAAAACAGCACCAACCTCCATTTTCTTTGATTGTCCTTCCTCGACCTCCATTTTCTCCAAAACAGCCACACCAAGATCTGCCATCGACTTTATTTTCACCTTCATTCTGTCCTCACCCATGTCAAAAAAGTTAAGGTCGAGGCCTCTTGGGTTTTGTGGGTTTTCCAATTTTGGGGATTCTTAGATTTGGGTTTTGAGGGGAGAGCTAGCGGTAAAAAAAATTGGGAGAAAGGGATGGATTTAAGTAGAATTTGATTTAAGAACAAAAAGAGGAAATCCCCTCCACATTCATTTCAGATCTAGGGAGAAAGAGGTTTTGGTTTTAGGGATTTTGATTTAGGTTTTAAGAAGGAGAGTTGGTAGCAAAACAAAATGGCAAATTGTAATTAAAGCCAATGGAGGACGCCAATTTAACCTTGGGTTTCCTCCATCTCAACTAAAATGGAATTTGGATAGCCTTATCAAATTTTTTATTTTATTATGCATTTTTTCTAATTTCTTGTGAGTTGTTAAAAATGTTTTTTTCATTCTTTGTGAGTCGTTGGAAATGTCTAATGGATGCTTCGAAGAAGATGGATTGTTGGCAGCATCAAGGTAACGTCCAACACTTTTTTGGGTTGAATGTTTGCTTTAAGAAACCAAGCAGTCTCTAAAATCGAAAAAGATGGAGAAGTTTAGTGACACAAAATTATTGGATGTTTGCTTTTTACATGAATGGTAGTAAGATTAAGTTCTTTTTTCAACTAATTTTAAACTGTATAATATTTTATTTAGTATGCTACGGAAGGTGATGGACAAGGATGTGCGCCAATCATCATGATCCATAAATATATTGATGAATGGGCAATATTGTTCACTATTGGAAACGAAAATATGCAAAGCATGGTAACATAGATATTATAAATCCTTGATCATTGCATACTCTCATCCCTGTAATCCAATGCTCTCATTATTTTGTACTCCCGTTTTGCCTCTTAAATGCAGTCTCTTCTTCCCTCTTCTTTTTTTCTCTGCGCTGTATCTTCTCGATAAACAATGCGATGTATATTGTGCAGAAGATCAAAGGATCAACAAAGATCTATGAAATATTGGGTCAAACATGGTACCAGAAGCGTTCTTCAGAGTTCCGGTGTAATCACAAGAATTATCAAAGATAGACATGGAGCTAGCAAAGTGTTGCAGATTTTGAACCACGAGGGTTCGTAGGTGAGCGGAAAGGTGGCGAAGGCAGTATTGAAGGAGAGGTTAAAGAGCTTCAATTCTTTATTCGATAAGAACCAGAAGACGTAGAGTCCGTGGGTACTGCGTGACTAGCAACTTCAGTCACAGCACGGGTATTGATATCCTCGATGGTGATTCCGGCCTACAGATCCTTTCCTTGGAAGATTCAAGTAGTACCTGGCTCCCGAAAAGACAAACGGAGAAGAATGTAAAGTACCAACCGGAGGATATTGATGGATTGATGGATGATTTGTTTGGTGGAAATCAGGCGTCCATGGCAAAGAGGAAAAATTAATTAAGAGGATTGAGAAGGAAAGAGATGAACATTTTTCCTTGATCTGTTAGGAAGCAAGTTTTTTAAATTTTTTTTGTAAACTATTGATCAATTTAAATTTTATAATTTATACCAAATTTTAAATTAGTCACTAATTTTGTGCACTGTCTATTTATATCATCAATACTAAATTTAAGATTAATTAGATATATTAAATTATTTTTAAATAGCATATAATTTAAGGTTATCAAATGAACAGTATTAAAATGCAATTTATTTTTTAAAGGTTATATATATCAAATTAATTTTAAATTTGGAACATATAATTTACATGAATAAAATATAGTCTTCCATTTGTTGTATCTATGATTTTGATGATTACAAAACATATTTGAGTGACTAATTAATTTATTTAAGTGTATAGTTAAATTGCCAAAAAACTACAAAATAAGTAAAATAAGATTGAACTAAAAAGGACCAAAAAGGCTGAAAAATGTGCAGAGAACTGACTTAAAGAATTTGCAGCCAACTGTGAGAGGCAAAAATGCAGAGAGTTGGCTACATATTTTAGAGCCGGCTCTACGGGTGAAAATTTGTTTGGTGCGTGTGAAAAATAAACGCAAAGTCGGCTTTGACTTTGCAGCCAATTTTAAAGGTGCATTTAATGCACAACAGTTGAGTTATTTGAAGATTAATTAATATTTTTAAAGTTGGAATCCCAAAGTTGGCTTTACATTTTGCAACCGACTGTGTGAGAAAACAGAATGTGCAAAAAACCCGCAAAGTCGGCTCTAGCAATCTAAGCTGACTCTACGGAGAAAACATAACGTGCAGGAAACCCACAAAGGTAGCTGTAGATTTTTTAAATTGGCTGTAGAGCCGGCTATGCTGACAATTCTGCAATTTAAAATTACATGACTTGCAGAACATTAAATGATCCCCAACGGCTAAAAGGCTATTTTTGAGTAAAAAATTATAAATATAATTGGTAGAAAATCTGAAATGAGTTGGAAGAGCATTCTATTAAATATCTTTATCTACCAACTTATTCCAGGCAACTTTTCTTGATAGTTCATTTCTTTGATCTCAATTATAGACATTAAAGATGAAGTCAAGCGATGGTAATACCTGTGCCGTATCATTTATTGTATCTTTTATCATTTATCAGCATGAAGAAAAATAAAATTTAACTTTAATTTTATTAATTATTTAATTAAAATCATTTACTTGATATTATTAAAATAAGATTTATTTTTATAATTTTATATATAAATTAATAGTTAAAAATAAAACATTTTAACCTATATTTTTAGAATATAGATTAAAATAACCCATAATAAAATAAATCTCATAATCAAGATCCAAAATAACAAACAAAAGTAACTGAAAACAAAAATTGTAAGGAAATTAAACACAAATAAGATCTTAGCTAGCAAGCTGTACACACAACACTAGAGTACTTGATGGATTGCTCATCTTGATTAGATATACTTGGTGCATGCTGGTAACATGTGCTAGGGTTATCAATTGGCTTGGATCCATTGTCGCTGGCGGCGGCTGTGGTGGTGGCAGTGGTGGCGGCGGCAGCGGCGACGGTAGCTACTTCTTCCCTCTTTTTCTTTTCTTCTCTTCTCTTCTTCCACCACCTAGAATCTAGAAAGAATGGCGAAAGGCTCAGAGGCCCTGTCGCAAATGATGGGGATATATACCCTTTTCTAACTAGGGATGTTAACGGGGCCCCGTGGGGCCGAGGAGTGCCTCCCCGTCCTGGTCCCTGCGAATGGCGGGCACGGGGATTCCCACAGGGATTTTTGACGAGGGGCAAATTTTTCCCCCCGTCCCCGTCCCCGTTCCCCACCAATTAATAACAAAGTATATATTTTTTGCATCAAACATAAATAAAAATTAATTTAACACAAATAATTAAATCAACAAAATTGTTCCAAATAAAGATTAATCCAACATAAAGCAACATGCTGGAATTTGAATTGGTGGTGGAGCTTGAAATGATCCCTCAGCACTCTGCTCTTGTGTGTTAGACATTTATCACCTAAAAATAAATTTTAAAAAAA